TTTTGTTTTGCCCCCCCCCCCCTTTCTCCTTTAAACTCTCCTGGAGAAACTAGATGGCTTCATAGATAAAGCTCTTGCTTTTCACCTCTGAAAGAGGATGTAGGCCTAGCATGAGGTTCCGAAAAAACTGAGCCTGATGAACTCCACTTAAGGACATCAATCAGAGCACTTTTTGGGAGGTAGTCAGTTATCTAAACATGAAATGAGGCCACCTCACCAATGCTTTGCTACATTCTTCTTTGCTGGTTGGAAGAACAGAGAAGAGGTTGGGAAGGAAACACACCTCTGAGCACATGGGAAGGAAAGAAGAAAAATTATCTTAGACAGGGATACAGAATTTCCTTTGAAATTAACTTGAATATTAAGTGCATCTGAGAATAGGCGAGTTATCCTCTTTCCTTTGTATCCAACATTAATAAAATAGTAAGATCTCATTGTAAAGACCTCTCATCACCAAATGCGTACAAGACAAACATGCATTTAAAAGTCACATCCACATTTCATTTCACTGCTTCTTTCCCCAGAATTGCTCTGGAAGATACAACTCATGAGTTGTGGTCTTTTTTACCCACGCAGTAAGTGCAACGGTTCACTTCCTACTAAATGAAAAAAACCTAAGGAACATTCTTCCCTCAGAGAAGGGAAAACAAAACTAAGCCAACAACCTTGTCCAAAAATTCAATCATCAAGTCTCTGAAGACTCACCACTTAAATTATTCTCTGGTAGTCACATTTTGTTCATTGTATTATATGAAAAAGTATGCTTGTTGAGTCTGGCTATGCAGACAAGCCTTTCCAAAACCCTTCATTTCTGCTCATCAATATTATACAGTACTGTTTTAAAAATTCATTAATTATCTACTTAGGAAAAAACTCACTCCTGTCCATAAAGACTAGCTACACATTCTAATTAAGCAGGATTAACACAAAACTGGAAATGCCAGAAATTTTGATTGTAAGACAGAATCTAAGCTTTCTCACTTCGCTTTTTTTGTCTTAAAACGAGTTTTATGTAAGGTAATTAATCAAACATTATAAACTGACAATTTACTTTTCCCCCTATTTAAAAGACACAAAGATTTGATTGTATAAAGAATAAGCAAGAAGGCAACAAAACACTAATATTGCAGGCATGAGTAGATTAACAAATATTAATCAGAGCAGCTATAGCAATGCGTTCCAATAATAACTTTATACAAGTTTATTATTGTAGCTATCTTTAATGCTGCATGTGTTGCTCCAGTGACTGTAACACACAAGATAAACCAAATGCCAATGACATAACAGTTAATGTATTTAGCAGCATGTATTTTATCCCCTTAAAGATGTGATTCCTTGTACTCTAATTTCTGTAGTTTCAAATTACATTTGTTCCCCAAAACCCTTTGTTTCTAGCACAAAGAAATTTCTACAAAGACTAATCCAATGAACAAAAAGAATTTGCATCAATTCCAATGACACATACTACAGCAGAAGATAAAAATCACTAAAGATGCTTAACTTTATATGAAGACGTTTACAGATGTACAAAGTTTGATTTTATATTTGAAGGAACTTCAGACAGTGAGTCTCTTGTATTCTGCAGCTTCTGTTGGACATTTTCTCCGCAAGAGTGTTCATTGACTACATTATAATTCTCTGACCTCTGAAATACAAAACGACTAAAAATACATTACTTAAAGAAGCTGTACTTAGTAACCTTCATGCATGTTAACTACCAATGGCCTGAAGCCACTTTTCTTTTTTTCACATGGTGCCCGAACAGGACTCTGCAGTAATGGTGAATGGTTAGACAGGTATGTTCCAAAGATCACAGTTCCAGGACATCACACAGTTGTCAGCTTAATGCAATTTGTTGGAAGTATCTCTTCAATCATTTCATGTAAGTGGCTTCAGGACATTGACAGCTTGAAGTAATTTAGTTATATATTTTCTTCTTTCATATAATTTATATTGTTACAATGAAAAAGTTAAAGCTCGATTTTGACAGCTTATTGTTTGCATTTCTCTCCAAAGGGAAGATATGACTTGTTTCAATTTCACTTTTATTGTTTAGTTTTCTGTGTGGCAGAGTCTGGTCTGCAAACATTTCTAAATGTAACTATTCTCACTGGATTAAAAAAAAAAAGGGGGGGGGGGGGGTATTTCCATCAGGTGTAGGCTTTAAAAACCAACACTTAAGAGTCATACTACAGCTATCAGTGTTTTGTAAAAGTAATAAAAGTTTCAGCACCATCTCTAATCAGAGCTCTCAGAACATTTTCCAAGTATAAAAATACAATGCAACTCTGTTCAGTTACGTAGGACCAAACCTTGTTTTCCTACAAGCATGCATAACTTGTGCTGACATGAATAGGAACTGCACACATGTATATGAGGGCAGCTGTTTGATCTTAAGTGTTTATGATGGAAAGATTGTCAAATTCAATAGCACAGTACATCCACAATATAGCTCTAAGAAAGCCAACTAAGACTTCAGATTATAGTCTGGAAGAAATATATAATGGGTTTCAAGTCAGATTCTAATATAAATCTTCTCTAAAAACCTCAATCATTCCAGCGCAAGAAGAGAGCATCTCTTCGCTTCCACAGTTCACGAAATATTTCTTATCATGCTCCCACTTCCCAATCTGCTCCTGCCAATAACGTTTTTCTCATGAACAGCTAATTTTTGCCATGGTAAACAGAACACACAAGTATATTACTAACTCTCTAAGTAATCTAGGACCAAGAATGTGATCCTTAGTATATTGCCAGATGACTTCACACCTTCCAGGTTCATACTAGTCATTAATGGGATATTGTTAATCAAGCTGACCCAGGGTACTACATATGCTTCCATGTATCTTTCATACTCAAAAAACATCAGGTCCTCTGGGATGGGTAAAAGTTCTTGCTCACATTAAGTTCTTAAGTTCAGACTCCAGTTTGTACCTGAATCTACCCATTTGTCAGTGGTCATAGAGACAATATCTTATGACAAAATTACCCTCTCAAGCCATTTCCACACCTCCTTCACACATGAATTACGTTCTTCTGCAACTCAAACCATCAGCCAAGACAGCATCCCAGAGCACCTCAAAACAAACAGCCATGTAGTATGTCCCTAGCTATACAGCGGCAGCTATGGATGCACACTGAGACACAGCTTTGCCACGGAGGTGCTCAAGCCCAGGTCAGTCTTATCTAGGTACTGTAAACAGAAGAGTGTACATTTAGAAATGTCTGTTAGCTACTCTGTGCCTAAAATGATTTATGAACATACTCTCTAAGACTAGAGGTGGTCTGTTTTCATTTTGAAATGCAAGAGTAACCCCCATCCATCAAATTATTTAGAACTGTTGGAATTCCACGTTTTGAGTGCCTTTTTTCTTTCCAAATGGTACCTTTTGAGCAGGCTACCTGTTGTTTTTTTTTTTTTCTCCCTCATTGTTGCTCTCTCTGCCCAACAGAAACAGCAGCTTGAAACTTATCAGTCAGGAGGCACTTTGGGTAGGAGAAATATACAGCAATTTTGGCGAAGACTCTAGCTTGAAAATTTAATCCCCTCGGTGAATAGTCTGTTTGGAACAGAGGCGATGTTGCCATTGTACAAACTTCTACAGTCATACAATGTTTCTCCTCTGGGTCTTTGGACCAGCAAAATTCCATTAGTCTAAAAAAGTCCCTTATATAGACAAGTTCTAAGGAAATGACAAAATAAACCATTCATGTTTAAGATCACTGGGATAGAAATGTGTTTCAAATTCCCTTAAAATTTACAGTTATGTAAACAGAGATGTATGGTTGGAGAAGTGCTCTTAAGGAAGAGTCAGAAGAAAAAAAAAAACAAAACAAAACTGAAGCTCTGCAAAAGAACAGAAGTGAAGAGAGAGCTCCTTCCTGCTGTCTTTTTTTTTTTTGATTTGTGTAGTCTCAATGACCAGTCAGAAGAATTACTTTTTACTCCATCATCTATTGGACTTGCATGATCTTGGTTAAGTACAAGTTACCAATGTGTGACTTAGTAGGCTGAGATTCTGTAGTGTACACAATACATTCAGAAATGTGTATCAAGTGTCATTAATTCGGGATTGTTGCATTAAAATAAATAAATAAATACCAAGTAGGAAACGAAGGTAGTCTATTCTAAGAAAGTATTTCCAAATATAGCTCTGACTGTGAGTGTGAATGTGCGTGTGTGAACTATTTTCTGTCACATTTTCCTGTATCTGCTCTTCAGGATTTCAACTTCATACACTTCCCTATCAAACTTGTGTGACAACTAATAAGCAAACAAAACCTCAGTTACAATAGTAAAAGGCATGGCTCTAATGTTGTTACTGGAGCCTTGAGAAAGAAACACTGCAGTTTGGTGTGCTACCAAAGGTTGCTAATAAAAAAGTAATAGCACTCACCAAGTATAGCATGAATCCAATAATGTATTAGCAAGATGCCACTATAGTAAAGAGGAACAACCTGGAAACAGGTTTAGCTGACACTGACAGATCCTCCTATTCTTTTTCCAGACACTCCGTTTCAAAAGCATTTCTGACTTTTTTTTTTTTTAAAAGCCAAATGATTCAGAGTCCCCCTTAATGCAGAAGTTAAAAAATAAGAAAATGGCATGGTAGGAAGCTGACACAGAGTGATTTCTTAAAAAGATTAAAGAACAAACTGCATTTGCTTAATAAAAAGGTACGCCAGTTCTTTAATAAATAAAGTGACAGACTTCTACTCTGAATATGAGCTTTAGGACTGACCATTAAAAGAGTGAGAAACACATGGTTAACTAACACTTGCAACCAAGACATGCATTTGTGTCTGAAAAGAGAATATTGCACTAAAAGAAGAACCCTGAAGGCTTTAAACTCTTCCTTCACTGACCTAAAAAAGTAACTAACCATTTCCTATAAGCAGTAGCAAACCTGGCTTGGTCCACATCCCTACAAGTTGATAGTACTTTATCAATGAACCGGTATTCCAGTTCTGGACCAAGAGAGTCCTGCATAGGAGCACGCTTCAGGCGTTTTGTTTCTTGGGTATAACCTTGTTTGCTGCTGGATTCATTCAAACCATCAACATCCATAGCTTGTGCCATGTGACTTGTCGCAGGACTGTGGTGGGAATTATTCAGAGTTTCATCACTGCTGTCCACAGATGATACCACTGCACTCAGAAGAGGAAGTTTGTTGCTTAGGTGGTGCTGAAGGTAGAACACACACCTTCTTCAGAGGAAAAGGAAGGAAGAAAAGGAAAGAAGAAAACAAGTCATGCACTGAAAATAATCTCCTGTTGCTGCTGAACTGCTTCGGTTCATTTGCCATCCCACCAGATTCCCCCACAAACAGACATAAAATCTGCTGTCACTGCTCACACTCTACAAAAAAGGGCTCAGTGTCACTTTGGCAAATTGGCTATTACCTAGTGAGGCACATACACCCAGCCGGCAAAGCAGAGGTTTTCTGCAGTTGATCCATCCTCTGCCTATCTTTTGCTCATCTTTTGCCCTTTAAACATTTTAAGTGTGAGGAGGCTGATTAACAGTATCTTGCATCTCTTGTACAAACTTCAGTGACAAGTGGAGCTTACATCTGCAAGATACTTAAGCCCAATCAAATTTTCCATTCAATAGCTCTGATTATGCTCTTGAATGTTTTCCAGAGGCTTAAGACATGGTATCTTAGAAATCTTTTTTTGAGTGGTACCTTTTAAAATCAGAACAACAATTTGTCTGGAAACATCAGGCAAAGAACAATCCATAAATCAGAAGGACACTCTTTTGACCAAGTCCACTTACCTATGACACCACAAGGTTTCATGCCCTGGGTAAGTATCAATCAGTTCAGTGCAGAGCTCCAACTCTTCCTCTAAATGGCGGGGGAGATCCACGCTCTGCTCCTCCGCACAGGCTGCTTCTGCCCCTGCACTCTCCTCCTCCTCCTCCTTTTGAAGGTTAGGGTTTTGCTCGTTTATCATTTGATTTTGTACCAGTACACTAGTGTCAGTCACAGTTCTGCCTATCAAGGACTTGAGTAAGAACTGGCGGTAATGAAATCCACTATGGTCTGAGACATGCATGGATACCCAATATTTAGTGGATGAAAGTTCATCAAGGAGAACCTGAAACAAAAAGCAGCGACAGTTATCAATCAGTATAAAGGAGGAATTTACCACCAGTGTTTCTGTATTAAGGCAACCTCTCCTCTGGGGATTTCAGCCACTGTGGTAATAGTTTAAGAACACACACAGAAAAATTAAATAACTACTGAGCCTTTTCCACTGTGTGCTGACAAGTATTTTGGCATCCCTGCACAAAAGAAACTATACTTCTTCCAAACTCTGAAAAACGTTCCCACAGGGTGAGGGGGGAAAAACCCAAACCACTGATGATGAGAAATGAGCAGTGCTTTAAGAATCTCAAAATGGTTAGGAATAAAGACTATTTAGAGGAGGCAGAGGTAGAGGGTACACCAAAGTACATGGATATTAGTTAGAAGTATTTTAATTTTTGCCTAGTGCATTATGGCTGTCAGAGGGTGGGGGGGAAAAAAAAAAAAGAGGAGGATTTAAAGTAATTCACACTTTTGTTTTCCAGGAAAGAATGTCAACCACTAACATTACGTTCCAAGTCCTAGAGTCTGTGGAATACAAAACTATTTGTCCATAATTAAGTTGCTTGACTTGGTAATTGGGGAACTCCCAGAAAGGCTTTCACAATAACTGTGGTAAATACTTACACTGGTGACTGCAGCTGTATTTGTAAAACTGCTGGCACCTATGAATTTTCTCTAAATTCTGAATGATTTTAAACCTTCAAAATTTATTTCTAGGAAGATGGGTGAGTTTGGCTACTGGGCAATGCTTCTTTTACTTTACTTTCTCCATTAGAACTAATGGCTGTATTTTTTTAAAGGCTTTAATCTCTTTCCTCACATTGCTCCTCCTCTGGAGTTTAAACTCTCCAAAGAGATCAAAACTACCTTTTCTGTTTACTTCTAAAGACTTTAGATATAACCTTACTCGTATATTCTTGCTTTTAATCTCTTTTTCTAAGCTACCTATGTCACTTAACAGGACCGGCTGATGCAAAGCAACTTTCATAGGCACAGGTCTTTCTTTTTCCTCCTGCAGCTCAAGAGGCACAGACTCCCACAAAGAAAACCATAGAAATGTGCAAGGCTAGTTATACGCCTTTTTTGTGGTGCACCTGTTCTAAAAGATATTAGAGCAGACACAAACGATATAAATAGCACCTTCTACCCGAGACACTGAACACGCTTTTTTAGGTCCTGACAAGAGATACCAGCATTGTCTTCCTTTTACAGATCAGCAAACTGAAGGGCACTATTAAATAACAGCCCACGGACAGGATTCTTAAGGGGGCTAAAACTCCCCATCTCCAGTTCTGCACTTTAAACCACAAGATCAGCTTCTCTCTTCTCAGCAGAATTGAGCCTACTGTTCTAAATTTCTGAACATTAAAATTTAAAAGCCTGTTAAAAACAACTTAAGGCTCAAGGGCAACATCAGAAAAAACAGACCAGTCTTTATTCAGCTGGAACTGATGCTACACACATTATGTCCAATTTAAATCTTGAAATAATCCTATTCATTTACCTGACGTGTTTATAAGCTACAAAGTTACAGGGGAACATTGTAATTATGCATTTTAACTCCCTGCACAAAGCAAACAGAAAGATTCCCAGCATCACTCCTTACCTGAACTAGAAAACCTCTTTTAGAAAAGCAAGACAGAAGATTGCCATTAAACCTCTTGAGATCTACAAAAAACAAAACCTCTCCTCTAGGAACCTCAGAGTAACAGTGGAAGATGCTTCAAACAACTGGAGGTAAAACGAAAAGCCAGCTAACGTCTGAATTCCAAGAGGTTCTTTCTTACCAAGCCAGTTTTCTCCATTTCCACACCGAACAGCACAAGCCCTTTGCCATTCTTCTGTGAGGCAAAGAGGAAATGATAGGAAAACGGCTCCCTCCCCACTCTTGACAACCTCTCACAAAGATCCCTCGCCTACCTTCAGTGGTGAGCCGACTACCATGGAACTGGGATCCTCCTCCAGAACAGGACATACGTGCTCAGTGACCTTTACCTCAACCTCTGGGTCTGCACTCCCTTTTACACTCTCCCTGACCCTGTGCTTGCTTTTTTGAAGTGCTTACCCACTATAAACTGCAGCCTGAAACTTCCTCCCTGGTCTGGGACACTGAGAAAATGAAAAGGAATTGTATCTGAGGAAAAAACTTTTAAGGATAACCAGATAAATATGGCAATGTCCACTCACACAAAAGACAGTTACCTTTGGAGGTCCAGTCATCCAAGAAAAAGCCAAAGCCTTACTGGGGATGTATACAGGAAAAATTACTTTGTGTTGTTATGAACATACTTCTGTCTGCTGGGCATCACACAAGAGTGGTGTTGCCTCACAACAATCACCCCACCACTTGTTTCTTTGCTTGGTTTTTATATTGTAGGGCCTGATCAGTCACTCTCGAACCTGTAATTATGAAGTTGAGTATTCCTCTCTAAAGAAAATAAAAAAGTTTGTCCATCCTTGCTGAACTACATCCTATTTTTGTACCTGCATGATTTCTCTGAAGCATCATGATGTGTATGAATTTTAACAGACTATACCGGTATTACTCTTACTCTCATTCTCCAACTAATTACGCACCCACCTATTAGTAGGTGTCTGGTGCCCATGTTTTTCCACCATTAGTTAACTGTACTGTCACATAAGAAAGCTGAAGTCAAGCTTTCTCATCCTTTTCCGAGGTGAGTACTCCAATACCAGAAAGATTACATCGGTTTGGAACAATCTATTCTTGACAAATCCTTAATTGATATTAATGAACACTATTCAAACACTCTGTGAACTTGCTAATGTGGTTCAAATTCTGCAGGAAAAATGAACTGACATTTCTATACTCAAACAAGACAATGTTTTTTACTGTCTAGTGTAAGAAAGAAGGAACATCTACATGCTGTGAGAAAAATCTTCCTACAGGGCCAAAACTTTCTCCTCCAGTACTTTATATCTTTTGCCCAGAATTTGAACCAGGATTCAGTCTGCAGAAGCATTAGGATTACCAAACCAAAGGAAAAAACAAAAACAAAAAAACCCCCAAACCTACCAAACAACCTACTCTGTCAGACGCTCCAGTGCAGGCCAACAGTTTCATAAATGATAAACCTGTTTTGAGAAGTCTTATTTCAATGATAATACAACATATACGTTATGCTTCTGGGCCTCTGTTTGCTTGTACACCGTAATAAAAACTACCTCATACTACAAGCGAAGTTTGTATTGTAGCAGAAATGTGGCCCTAAATAATACGGGACACTCTAATTTGAGGTAACTTTGCAAGAACTAAATGGCTGTGGAATCACAGTGGCTGTTTTATCTGCTAATCTTTTCAGCACAGTTCCAGTCTTACATCTCAGTGAAATTTACCATTCTTTTCATATATTCAAACATACAAATGGCTGAAGGTACAAAATAAGACATCAAGCAAGAAAACCTGTATATTTTTGTAAAAATCCATAATGTCTGCTTTTTTCCTCACATCACATCTTGCGAATAATCACTTTGTAATTCTGCCTTTTAAGGTTTCCTAGACAAAAATTTTTATCTCAAGATTCTTGATATCTTTTATTTTCTACATTTTTTCCTAATTTTCCTGCATCCCAAACACCTTCTGCTAGGCCATCTGAAGAGATGCATTGATGATGTCATAAAAAAACCTAGAGGTAACATGGAGATTTCCCAATGGGTTAAACACGCTGCTGGAGGAACAGCAGCACCAGTGAAATTTTGCCAGAGGTAACAAAAGCAAGTTGGACAAAAATAGAGAAAACTATCACTTCCTTAGTCATCAGCCTAAAAAGAAGACCAGTAGGGGAACTGGGATGGTGGGCAAGGCAAATGGACTTGGGAGTGATCGAATAAATTTAAAACACTTCGTTCACAGGCATGCTTGTGACTTGTCACACAAAGCACTGACAACTGCCAATGAATAAACCCACCAGAATAATTCCAGCTCTGAGAAGAGTTATTTTTATCTCAATGCAATTCTTTCTGTTTATTTAAACTAGTAAGGAATAGCAAGTGCAAAAAGCACTCAGGGTATTACCCTGATCTTCAAACTACTGTTAACCAAAGCACAAAACGACTTGAGTTTTAATCAACAGTGCTAACTCTTTTTAATAAGGCTATTAAAGACTTATGTGAAAGTCCCTGTTTCCTCTTAATATAGGCCTCTAACCCTAACTTCTAACCTCCAATCTAGCCCAGTCCTGTAGTTCTTCTGAGTTTTCCATAACTACCTTTTCATACAAACTCACTAGGCAGATGAGTCCAAATTGCGGGTTGTGTCCTCTTGGAGTCTGGAACATACTTGCTATTTACTACCAATCTGATACAGCTATTTTTAAATTTTCTCAGGTGACAATTAACAGGAAACATCAGCAAAACAACATCCATTACTAGCAGCAGCTGGCCCATAAGACTTAAAAATAATGGCTATACCAACTCAACAACCTCCACTAAATTCCTCCCTCACTCCCGTATGTATTTGCAGGATGGCAAAATGCCGCAGCTGCCATTAAAAGTGTGAGTGATGTGTCACTATATTGGCCTAATATTCACAAGGAATTCACCTAACAGCTTAGAAAACACAGTATTACAAAACTGCCTATATAATTTTAGACCATGTCACATTAACTAATTCAATTTGCTGCAGGTCTCAATGTTTTAGATACTACCATGTGATCTGAAATATTCATCACTGCATTAAGATGTCCCTGCTGGAGCTGAAACAGCTTGACCAGTCCTCACTTGAAATGCTGTCACAAGATACTGTTGGAGCTGAAGAAAATAATTACAAGCACTCTATGCTTTCTCTGAAATTACTGCTGTTTTTCGGTAATCC